CCCGCTCCACAAGAAAGGAGGACATTTTCTTATGTACCTCCGGAATGAGGATATATATATTATGAGATTAATGCAAGAGGGTGTACAATTTCTTTTAACAATTAATTAATTTATACAAAAATTCAAGTATATGAGATTTCAATCTTTTACTATTTTTCCTAACAATTCACAGTATAGTTCAAATACATTAATTAAATAAAGGATACAATTAACACACGTAATTCATGATTTGAGTCCTCAACTACCCGGATTTTAGCATAAATAGTAGCTACGCACGGATTCTCGTCACTTCGTGCGTACATAGCCCCCACAATTAGCAACAATTATTAATTTAAATCACCTTTGGGGTAATTTCCCCTTTACAAGGTTAGGCAAGAGACTTACCTCGACTTGCTCCAATTTAATCCACTAATAGGCCTTTTCCTCGATTATCCAACTCTGAATTGCTCGAATCTAGCCAAAATAATTCGATACAGTCACCAAAAATTATAGGAATCAATTTCATAAGAAAATACTATATTTTTCAATAAAAATCCGAATTTAACTCAAAAATCGTCTGTGGGGCCCACATCTCGGAATTCGGCAAAAATTACGAAATATGAACGCCCATTCAACCACGAGTCTACCCATACCAAAATTACTAAATTCCGATAACAATTCGGCCCTCAAATCCTCAAATTTATCCAAGAAGGTTTTCAAATTTTTCCAACTTAATTCACCAATTAAATGATAAAAACAGTGATGGATTCGGGTAATTTAACCAATATTAAGTTAAGAACACTTACCCCGTTGTTTTTTCTGAAAATCTCCCAAAAATCGCCTCAATCCGAGCTCCAAATCGGTAAAAATGGTCCCATTTTCAGAACTTAAACTCTCTGCCCAGTCATTTGCTCTACGCGATCGCGAACCTTCTCACGCGATCGCGAAACACAATTTTTCCACTGCCCAAATTAACCTTACGCGATCGCGGACTTGTCCACGCGATCGCGAAGCTCAAACTCACAGGCCTACGCGATCGCGAACTCGTCCACGAGATCGCGAAGCACAAACGCGTGACCTCCACTTCTGCTCCACTTACTCTACGCGATCGCGACCTTCTTCACGCGTTCGCGAATAACAAACTCCCATATCTACGCGATCGCAGCTCTCTTCATGCGATCGCGAAGAACAAAAATCATCACTGCCCCAAACAAGCCTACACGATTGCAAACCATTTCACGCGATCGCGTAGAACAAAGTCGCCTCTGCCCCAAATTAGCTTACGCGATCGCGGATGTACCTATGTGATCGCGTATAAGGAAACCAGAAGAAAAATACCAGCAGCTATCAGCTATCTCCCAAAGGTCAAAAATGATCTGTTTGCCGTCCGAAACTCACCCGAGTCCCTCGAAATCTCAACCAAATACACCAACAAGTCCTATAACATCATACAAACTTAGTCGAAACCTCAAATCACATCAAACAACGCTAAAACCACGAATCATACTCCAATTCAAGTTTAATGAAATTTAAAATTTTCAACTTCTAAATTCGATGTCGAAACCTATCAAATCAAGTCCGATTGACCTCAAATTTTGCACACAAGTCATAAATGACATAACGGAGCTATGAAAATTTTCGGAACTGGATTCCGACCCCGATGTCAAAAAGTCAACTCCCCGGTCAAACTCCCAAACTTAAATTCTTGTTTTAGCCATTTCAAGCCTAATTTAACTACGGACTTCCAAATAAAATTCCGAACACGCTCCTAAATCCAAAATCACCATACGGAGTTGTTGGAATCATCAAAATTCTATTCCGGGGTCGTTTACACATAGGTCGACATTCAGCCAACCTTTCAACTTAAGTTTTAAACTTTGGAACTAAGTGTTCCAATCCATTCTAAAACCTCACCGGACTCGAACTAACTACCCCGGTCAGTCACAAAATAATTATAAAGTATAAATTGAGCAGTAAATGGGGGAACGAGATTCTGAAAGTCAAAATAATCTGTTGGGTTATTACAGTGCCGCTCTCGTAGGACAAGCTAAAAAGAAAAGTGTGCCATATGGAATGGGAGAGAGACTAACTGATTATTAAAAAAATGAAAAAATGAAAAGTGGAGATGCGAATTTTAATTTCAGTGCAATAAGATATTACAATGCAAAAACTCCAGTTATCTCATCAATTTACCAAGTAAAAAGTATTCCTTAAATTTGGTACATTTGATGATTGTGCATGTTCTCAAAGTAATTCGAATTTATTTACTCAAACAATAGCTTGTGAAATTCAAAGTAAAGTGACAAATTAAAATCTCTTTGAAGCAAAATGCAGATTAGTTAAAAATATAACACAGATGATAAACTAAACCAAAAAGATAACGAGAGTTTATAAACTAAACTAAGACGAATACTAAAAGGAGAATTTATGAATTAAGAAACAATTTCAATACAACATAAATAAACAATTTCAATATAAAACGCGCGCGCACACAAAAAAAAAAAAAGATATTTCGTGCTTGATAGTTTTTGACCATTTGTCTGATGAAATCATCAAAAATCGAACTTGCATGCCTCCGAGATGATTTCAGTATCTGAAATCGCTACGTTGTTGTTTTTATTACTTAACAATTTAATTCAATATTAAAAAAGACCAAATAACCATAAAGAAACAAAAATTAAGCATTCAAAAAAGTGAGAGAAGGAAGAGAACTAACCTTTTTATAATGACTGGTGGCCGTCGATTCGACGGAGGCCGGCGACTGGGTGCGGGACCGGCGATGCAGCAGGGAGAAGACTAGGTCACTTATGGAGTAAGGGCTTCAACAATTCTGAGATAATTAATTTGTTTCCACAACATGCATTTGTGTATATTAATTTGGCAAAATGAACTCTACTTGAACTTATATTTTACCGTCCCGATAAATAAACTTACATCGACTTGGATGACATGTCAAATACTTAGCTTTTTATTATTTGACACATATAATTTATGGGATCACCTTTTTAAAAAACTAATTTTGCCAACTTTATAATTTTTTTAGTCAATTTTGAAAACTTTCATCTTCCTCTTTATCGTAAAGCTTTCCACCACCAGTGCCTCATCTCCTCCGCCTCCCTCTCTACTTCTCTCTCCCCTACCAGTTTTATGGTTTCATCACCACAACCAACCTTAAACCAATAATGTTTTTCTTTTTCTTCTTCAAAATCTATACTAGCTCCATCAAACCACCACCGTGAACCACTGATTTCATCCATCGTCGTGGTTAGAATTTATTAAATCTCCTTCTATGAGGATCTCTTTTCTGTTTAATCATTATTTTCTATTTTTTATTTTTCTCCCATTATTTTTCCAAAATTCTCTCTGAAAACCCCCCAATCATTAACAAAAAAATTACTGGAATTGTCACTATTACCAAAGAACCAACCTCAACTCCACCAATTGTAACACCACCAAATCGGCTGTACATAACCTCAATAATCATAATACAAGACAACTTCTTCAATAGCCCTTTGTAATTTATGATTTCAGGAATTATAAATTCTTCTACATCGTCCTCATAAGATTTGTAGAAAAAGAAAAAAAAATGGTGAGTAAAGATGGACATGAAAGCTTGAACGATGAAGATAAGAAATTAGAAGAAGACAAGTTGTGTGGTTTGGGGGGCAGGGGTAGGGAAGGGGGTGGGAAGAAATAAGGGGAAGAAGAAAGAGGTAATTAACCGCGAGAGTTTTCTTTCTTTTTAATAAGGTAAAACGGCCTCCGGACCACTTAAACTTGTACTCATTTTTCAACCCGATAAAGAAACTTAGGTGTTTTTCTTTTTAACACCTCAACTCATTCATTTACACAATTTTAAATTCATTTGATCGTTGACTATGCTTATGTGGCAACAATTTAACTGACGTGGCAAAAATACGTGCTAATCACGCCTATAAAGCGTGTGTATATAATGAGTATGAGATTTGTTTTTACTAAAATTACAAATAATAAATAAATGAAGGAAAAGCAAAAAATAAAATAAAAACAAAAGAAGAAGAAAAAAGCTCATTTCTAGCTACTTTGGGACCCTTCCCATCTTCCCCTTTCTCTTTCCCCAGCCCTCTTTCTTCTGCAGCCATCCCCCTCCATTTCTTCATCTTCTCCATTCCTTTTCTCCAAATTTTTCATCATCTTACTCAAAAACCACCTTAAAAACATTATCACCACCACTTTCATTACTGTCATCCCAAACACCACTTTCAACCATTAGTATCTAGAGCACACTTTTACTATAAGATGTGAATAGATCGTCAGGACAGATGGGCGGAATAAGGACACCGACGAATGCAAAATTGAGGAAAAAAGTATATGGATTGGTCGGAATAGCCATCTTGTTTTTCTTTTTTCATTTTTCTTTTTGGTGGATAGATAAGGTTTAAAATTTGCCCAAGCCCACAAACCACTCCTACAAGTTTGCTGGTGCCGGCAAAACTTCAGACAATCGCTAATCCAATTTCAAGAGATTTGGAATCTGTCTCTGAAGGGAATATAATAAAAAATTTATTTTTTTGCTAAATGAGAAGGAACGAGAGAGTTAGCAACACTTTATAGAAATTTCAGGCGAGATACTAACCGAAATAGTGATATCTACGATGATAAAATTGAAGAAGAATGATGGAAATTTATGAGAATACTCATGCAAGGCCTTTGGTCACTCCTGTTGATGAATTTTCAGTGATTATTTTAATTGATTTGGGGGTTTTAGGGTGGAGGAAGGAGGTGTTCATGGTGAAAGGTGCTGCCGGTGGCCACCCAAAAAAGAAGAGACATAATGTTTTCCTAAATTTTTTTATAAAATGGTTAAATAAATATTAGGACCCACAAATTATACGCGTCGAACAATAATAGGCGAATAACATGATGTGTCAATTATGTCATAGCGATTAAGGTACACACTTATTTTGAGGTGCTTATTTTTTGTACTTTTATCAAGTTGAGGTGTTCAAGTGGGAAACATGTAAGTTTCTTTACTGGGTTGAAAATCAGGTGCAAGTTTAAGTGGCCAGAACGTCATTTTTTGGTCCTTTTTTATTTCTTTTTCTTATTTTAGTTTTTTTTGTTACAATTATCTGATGCACGTTCCTTATGTGCATGATTGACACTCATTTTGGCCGCATCGACATTGTGATCGCCACATGTACATGATCAACGATCGAAGGGGTCTATTAGTTCACAAATTTATGAGTTGGAGTATTCAAATGGGAAATATATAACTTTGTTTACCGGGATAAAAAATCGGTGCAAGTTTAAATGGCTCAGAGGCCATTTTGCCTATTAATTTTAAGGACTAGGTAAAGCACTCGACAGTCGCCAGTGTCGGAGCCATGTAGGTTAAGGGTGGTTAATTTAATACCCTTGAAAGTTATACTAATAAACTAGTCTTATTATATGCGCAACCCCAATATTAATAAGTATAAAGATTTTTAAAAATTACATTTTATATATATATATATAGTTGAGTAATAACATATAAATAAATAAAAAAGTGTAAGTTTTTAAAAGTAAAGAATGTTGATCTTATTTAGTTAAATAGATTAAAAAAATCTCTTGTATCTCTCTAGTACAAGTATTTGCTTTGTCATTAAACTATGAACTCATATTTATTGATTATCTTTATTGGTTGCTATTAAAAATTATTGTTCTCTTTAGTTGTGTCTGAAGGCAATTAGGAGATGTTGAACCCATAAATTTCTAATGATTTTTGGATAAAAGGTTATATAAAAAGGTTATTTGCTTTGGCTTACTATATTTTCGCAAGGAATTATAGTTATATATGTTACTTAATTCATTTAATGAATGATTCTATAAGATAAAATCTTAGATTTTAAAAATCTTACTCCATATATCTCAATTTATGTGTCATGCTTTCCTTTTCAATCTGTCCTAAAAAAGAATATAATACTTTCTTATTTACAAATATTTTAATTTTAAAATTTCAATTTACTCTTAAGAAGATGATTTATAGTTGCATAAACATATGTGGCTTGTTTTAAAACCACAAATTTTAAAATATTTTTTCTTTCTTAAACTCCTTTCTCAGTTAAACACTGCCATTAAGTTGGACTAGAAATTGTAAATCTTAGTGTTTCCTACATAGTTAAAATAAAGAAAGATTTACTAAGTAAAAATTTATTTGACTCCAAAGTCCTAAAATATTAAAAAAATAATCAAATAATAATTTTATCCAAGATAAAATATATGTTTAAAGGGTAAAAATATTGATCAATATTTTGCGCTGAAGTTTCATTAAAAAAAATATTTATAAAATTTTAATCGACCTTTTTACCCTTTAAAAAGAATTTACGCTGGATAAAATTGTATCAATATTCTAAAGAATAACATGTAAGGTATTATAATTATAAATTTTTTTTAAAATCTTAAATATTAGAATTTCCTGCATTGTTCAATAAGGAAAGATTTTAAGGAAATATGTAGAAAGATTTACTTAAAACTAACTTAAATTTCTTATAAATTACAGTAAAATTTATTGC